TACTTAGATATTGCCTTGAGAAAATCTTCCCACTTCTATTTTGCATGAATCTCGCGTATAATAGGCACGGTGTGCTCGCGCAGTTCGAGCGCAACTTCGTTGCGCGTGAAACTTGGCGCGAGGCACTACCGTGCCTCTTGATTCAGAGTAGATGCGCGCATCAGTGAATGACCGGTCACCGGTGCATGACCGCAACATCTATGCTTCCGTGACCGCGCGAGATAATACGCGATTCCATTATTAAAAAAACGTTCGGGAAATTATATTGCCTCTTATCTGTCGCGCGCGCACACACACACGAGGACGAAATTTGCGCGATATAATTTCGGAAAAAACAATAATTTTTCGCGAAGATAGAAAAACAAGTAACAGGATAATTCGTTTTTCAGCGTGAAGATTCACACAGCGCAAATTTGTCGGGAACAAAATGCCTCTTACGTATACCGCGTAGCTGTGTGCAAATGCGTGTCGCGAATATCGTATGAGGCCTATCTTTCTGATGAATTTTGCGCCAGTCTATATTAAGCACTTCCTACGCATTAACGACTTGGAAAAGTAACATCTTAAATATGGATAACCTTTACGTTGCCGCGCAACGTAGGCGTTCGTTTTCCCAGCAATATCACCGGGTCTCTTTTTTTAAAGGCGCTTTTTCAGCTTCACTCTCGACGTGTCTTTTTACGATATTCACCGAAGTGCACTACCTGAAGCTCGCTTTACGGACACGTTTAGACATACACATATACACGTACACACACACACACACACACACACACACACACACACACACACACACACACACACACACACACTCTCTCTCTCTCTCTCTCTCTCGATTATTGAAATTAAAGTCTCTCGTGTACAGAAATTTACTAAACAATATCACCCCCCATCGTGTGAATCAGTCGATGTTCTCGACACAGATATTTATGGATTATTTTTGTTCTCTTTGTGTTCTCACTTTGACCGTAAAAAATACCTTACGTTTAAGAGCGTTGGAAATCTTTTTTCTATGACGTTTTTAGAAATTAAAAGAAAAGAGAATCTTTTTTTTTTAACTTGTAAAAAATATACTAAAATATGACTTTTCTACAAGAAGATAGTAATTTTCTGTCTAAGTGTTATGTGGGACTATTATTGAAAAGTGAAAACGGTTCGAAGCGAATAGAAATTCAATTGCTTTCAAAAAGTCATCGTAAATCTGCTCGTCGTCTATTCGTACACGGAAAAAAAAGTTTTGCTATTATATGGTTAGCAAAAAAAAAAATGGTTGACTCTACGAAATATTTTGTTTCATCAACAAAATGTTTTATTAGCGAAACAAAAATTTTAATAAACTTAACAAATGTTTTTTTGCTGGCCATATAGTAACTAATTTCTTGCTATTCTAGCAAATCTTTTTTTTCCGTGTAACCTTACGGTTTATGTATTGTTTTTTTTATTTTTTTTTTTTTTTATTTTTGTTTTTTGATACACGACTGTGTGTGCACAGTCATAAACCCGTCGCGCGACGGATGACGGTCACTCGAATTTTGCTGTTACTTGACCGCCTCGCAATTTGCCGCGAAAGTTTTTCGCCGTGCAGCGCACGGCGGTCACACAAGCTCGGATTTCCCCGTTCATCAATCGATCCGGGCTTGACTCATCGCGCGATGCATACCTACATATATATGTATGTGTATATATTGTATATATATACACATATATATATATATACACATACATATATATATATATATATATCCTACACTCGCACGAACGTACAGTACATATACGGATTACAGGTGCGGGGGCTGCTGCTGTACAGGGTGACGTAAAGTTTCGTTACTTTTACTGAGGCAGCTGAGTCACCGTGACGTGATCTTCCGACGAAGTATGTATTATTTCAAAATGCTCACACCCCGTCTTTCAAGCGCCCGGCGAATTTCGCGGAGTTACACTTGCACGTTGTTTCGACGAAGTGGATTGCTGTCATTTCCATTTACGAGTTGTTCTCCGCATACCTTGCGCTTTGCTACACACGAACACACAATTTAACTATTATTGTATGTACGATCGCACGCAATTGATGTCGCATCTGACCTTCTCACGTAAACGTGTTTCAATCAATCTTTGCTGTTTCGGTGTTGGAGAACGAGACGCCCGTCCCCTTCCCGCAACACACTGACGACAAACTTGCGTCAAAGCGCGACGTCGTATTTTTGTTGTTGTTGGTTTTTTTTTATCCCGCCAGGCAACCGGCACGGTCGTGCTACTTGGTTTGCACCAGTTTGTTAAGATCCGACCGGGTGTCGAGCCGGTTAACTTAAACGTAACTGTATCTCGTGGTACCGTAGGTCGTTCATAACACGCCGACTTGCGCTATTTCTGATAGTCAGCGATATAATTAGAGCAAATCGCGTCTGTGTCTAATAAACCGACGACGGGAGACGATAGACGCAGAACGAGATGCGTGTCGATATGATAAATAGATGAAGACGGAAAAGAGGACGAAGAGAAAAGGGAGAGCGAGGGGGTTTTGAGACGGGCAGAATTGAAATCGCGCTTCGCGTTTCCGAGATGTTCGGGATACGGCGATCGATCGGATGTTTTCGTTTCGTCCCGTATTATTCGCATTGCGAACTCCGGCTGTGAGTCACAAACGGCATTGTGCAATACCACACGTGTATATATGTATGTAGGTGCCGATCTCAGAAGAAATTATGCGAATTCGTAACACGTAGCAAAACGACAAAAAAAAAAAATTGTCGCTCGCGCGCATCAAGAAAATTGAGAACATTTGATCGCTCGTACATGTATTGGTTTCGGAACTCTCTTCAATCGAACACTTATCGATCGATGTCGAATGACGTAGAACGTTGTAAGAAGCAACGACGGTGCGTCGTCTGAGAGTGTCTCTTGGTGTACCAGTACTACTTTTCATCCTTTGTAGGTCGCGTTTCGCGTGGCGCAGGCCTTATTTTCACATTCATAGCAATTATAATTTTTAATGCGCAACATCACAGCGCGCGTCTGAAATTTACAAACATGTTTCTGAAGTAGGTTGAAGAAGGTGCGCGCGAGGAGTTACGAAGTTCTTAAAATAGTGTACCCCGAACCGACAGGTTGTTTCGAAACATTTTAATGTATCCTAGTGATAAGAACCGTCGCCCCGGGACGACGACGGCAAAACCAGGATTTCTCAGCTGCTACGTACGACGAGGAGAAGATTCGTTTTCTCGGAACAATTTTACACAGTAAAAAATCGTGCGTCAAAATGTAGAACTTTTCTTGTGTTACGACGTTTTGATTATTACTTCAATGTAAAATTAACATAATACTGATA